TCAGTGGCAAGTTCCGGCCTTCGCATGTCCAGTCGATGCGAACCTGGTCAGGTGGGCTGGATGGACACCAAGCTGCGCAAAGCAACAACAAAATCAATTTCTCAGCAAACTGGCGCTGTTGTCCATTAGAGTTCTTATGCGTGGCCTGAAGTGGAATTTTTTCCAAGATGGCTTCTTGCAAGGGTCTAGTGCAAATCTTTCCTTGCACAATCTAGACACTGCTGCAAGTGGAAATTCCCAAGATTTCAGGTAGCCAGCCAGCACACCCCGAACCACACCAACTCACTTTCTGCTACAGACTCAGCACCCCTTCCCATCCACCACCTACGCTGCCTGTACAGGCCCCTCTCCACCTCGCTTGCTTTAGACTTAATCTCTTTGGAGTCATAGCTGCGCGGCATGCCCCAATCTGCCCACGCAGTTAAGTGGATAAATCTTCAACAGGGCGGCCTGCTCTTGAACTCTTTTGCTTCACAGGCAGATGGGTGCCCTGAAACGCTGCGCCATTGCCGTAAACAGGGTTGTCGCTGCTTGGGCTGTCACAAATCTCTCGACCGGCTCCTGCCAGTGCAAGGAGTTCTATGTTGGGTGAAGCAGTTGGAGCAAGTGACCGTGGTGCGGCGTTCCGAGTACTCCGATTAGCATTTGTTTTGCTTGTGGCTGCTTGCCTTGCTGGTTGTCTTGCTAGGCCTCCTGTTTGAAGGCATTCCGCTACAATGACTGCTATGTAAGCCATCCACATGACCGGACCCACCGTCTTTTGCTATGTCACCTGTAACCGCTGTTTATGTCTGAGGGTGTACATGTAGTGCCCTAAACCCCAATCTGTAAACCCTAAACTGAAGGCTCGGGACGTTCTTAAGCTGAAGGTCACACTCATCTTGCTCAGCTTTCTTTGGGGGCCCGCGGTGACAAGTGGGGGCTTCCCCAATTAGAAGCGATCATAATTTGGAACTAGCTGCAAGTAAGCTATCTAGGGTTTGGGGCTTAGGATGTTAGAGCCATGGCCTGAATGGGTCATGGCAGGGTTACAGGGCTGCCCCGGGCTGAGGCATAGAGCTCAGGGTGATGCGATTATTGTCCACCTTAAGTAGGTAGAATATGGGTCATGATATGAGCTATAGTCTAAACTCCTAGTATCCCCTTTAATAACCCCTAAGGTAGTCCGCTATAATCCCCTATATAGCCCCCTTTAAGGAGTTTAGACTATAGCTCATATGCCGTCGTGAGCGCGCTCTTCTACTCTGCTTTCCTTCCGGATTTACATGTCACGGGCGCGCAGTCCAGCTGCTATGATGCCCTTCTGAGGCTTCAAGCAGAGATGGAGGTTGATGTGGAGACACATCAGAGTTTCCCAAAATTAGGGGTACCTTTTTGGGGGTCCCAATAATAAGGACTATAGTATTTGGGGGTCTATATTGGCGTACCCTATTTCGGGAAAATACAGCATTGCAAATCATGGGCAGCGTGTACACCCAGCAATCTAGTCTTGCAGCGCTCTTTTCTCACTGCGTCATCTTTGTAGCAGGAGGATCACTGAACATTTTGGACGCTCTTCGAGCCACGGTAGTTTCCCTAAAATAGGCGGGGCCCTAATATATACAACTATCTCATAATCCTTGTCATGCGGACCACCAGAAGGAACCCCTAATTTTGGGAAACCGTAAAACCTATATGTCCCCTAATTTTGGGAAACCCTAAGCCCTAATCCCTGTATATCCCCCTTTATATCCCCTAATTTTGGGAAACGCCTCGTTGCAGCGCCCATTTTTGATGCGGCCCTTCAAAGGCCCCGGGGTCGGGAGGGCTTCCGGCCAGACTGAAGCAAGGACTTACTGTTGAGGGTTTAGGGTTTAGGGACCAAATCTTGCACCACCTTAGGTCCCTAAAGCCCTGGGAATTACAGTAGTTTAGGGCCCCTGGGTGGTGCAAGATTTCATACGTCAACAGTATCAGAGGGTTCGTAGGGGGGTTTGGGGTTTCCTTGTTTAATCCATATATAGATGATATTGCAGGGGTAATGGAAATCAAAATGGAAACTACTATAGTATTCTAGGGCATATACATATATACATATATATATATTAGAACTACATCAGGGAATGAAGGAATAAGGTTTCCATTTCTCATCCCTACATTGTATGATATGATCACATATTCCCTACTAAGAACCATTAAGAGGAATCAGCAAAGGAAAATCATCGTCAGAATCACTCAGCTCTTGTCCTAACCGCATATTGACATTGGTGAGGTTCATTCCATGTAAAAGCTCTAGGCTCTAGCTATGCTTTAGGAGGACCACCCCCCCTGTAAAGGATAATGAGGATAATATTAAGGTCCCATAATATTCCTACTATACCACTAGTACAGGCCTAACCAATGTATCTTTGGCCTACTGTTGCGTTTATGAAGCTCTGACTTGGCATGCAATGACACGGGTAGACTTCACAATCGCGCTATGTGAAGGCTTCACCAATGTCATTCCAAAGCACAGGCCAGCACCTTTTAGCTTATTATTGTTGAAGCCCGCTACCAGTTGGAATTAACCCTAAACCCTAAACCCTGTAACTCTCTCCTCCCGACTCTGAAACGGTGAGACAACAGCGTGTAAGCAGAGCAGGAATCGCTGCCAGGTCTTGAACACGAACCCTCAAAGAGAGCCCCTGATTGTTGGACGTGGGTTTAGGGTTGGGTTTTGGGCCCACCGCTCGGGCAGTTTCCATTTCATGTTCCATTCTCTTTGCCTTTCAATTTTCCATTATTGAGGGAAGCCCCCTTAACCCCACACAATTGATGTCAATGTTGCTAATCAGATGAGCTACAGCCAATATTTCCCCGTACAATCAATGGACATGACTAGGCTACCCCTTGGTTAGTCTAATAATAAGCCTAGCCACGAAATCCAAAACCCTGAATGCTAAACCCAAATCCCTGAGCCCTACCGGGTTCCCCAGTAACCACTTAATAATAAGGGTACCCTTTTTCCCTGTTCTCAATTTTAATAAGGAGACCCCAAAATAAAAAGGGGAAAAGGGTACTACTGGGGTACCTGGCCTACAAACATCAGCTCACTTCCTATAACCTTCTCCGACAATCCTTTGCCCAGAAGCTCTTTAGCCTGGCGTGCTCAGCGATTCACGTGCCGTGGGCATGCCAACCCAATAACACAGGCTAGCTACAGCAAACGGTACTTGACCAAAATAGGGCGGGGGGGCTTACATAGAAACAAATATACTACAGTCCGTATTATGGGAACCCCTAGAAACGGACACCCCCCCCTAATTTCGGGAAATTCCTAGATGTGGGTTGCGGTCTTGAGCAACATCCCAAAACCCCCAAGCCCCTCAATGCTTTTCACTGCCTTTCGTGCTGGAACCGCAACCCTTCGGCTTGGTTCAACCCGCCTTCTTGCCGACCTGGGCCCCTTTGTCTGGTTTCAGGGATTAGGGTTTAGGGTTTGGGTTTAGGGATTAGGGTTTAGGGTTGAAGGCTTTCAATGGCTGATTTGAGATTCAACATGTGCAGCCCGCCCGCCCCTGTTTACCATAATGATGCATGGCCTTGTCCTGGGATTCGTGTTTGCAGTATCGCTTTCTGGTCGTGATAACCAAGGCGGGGCCTACCACACTGCTAGGGGAGGCCTCAACTTTGAGCGGAACACCTGCTTGCCAGGATCACAAGTTATGCAGTCTTTACATAGCCTGCTAAGTCAAGCTATCTTCTGGAAGCCCCGCGAGAAGGCGAGAGCATCACTGAAGCATTGCAGATGCAGCAAACAAGGGACCTGAACCTAGATTTGTACTAAGGTGCTATCTGTAAGTTTGGAGTAGAATACGTGAACCCCTGTGTGATAGGCTGGAGGTGTAATATGTTTTGAGAATGAGCGGGTATAGCGGGCCACCGACACTCATGTCGCCGAAATCTCGGCCAAGTAGAGAGGAATGGCTTGGAAGTCGCGGAACACGCAGAATACCTGCCACGCCATGTTGGCAGCATCGGCAGCTGTTCTTCCCGCATGACTGGTTCTTGCCAAAGTCCCTGGAACTACAAACCCAAAAAGGGGAAGATGCGGCGCCCACTGGTACCACACAAAGGGCTGTACGAGCATGTAATTATTTTTGGACACAACCGCGGTCACTGTGATCCAACCTGGCAGTAAGGAAGGCTCAAATGCTACTGCGAATGGAGGAAATGTTGCACCACCTTTCGCACCCCATAGCTAGGAATTAACTACAGTATAGGGTTGATCTTAATAAGTGGGGCAAGATTGCCTGCAAAGATTTCCTCCATTCAGGGTATGATGAGCTCTTGCGTCAGCCTTTGGGTTTGTAGGGTCGTCAACAGTGGAGTCGTAGCGGCTGCCTGGACACATCAGAAGAGTCTGATCCCAACGTAGCACAGGCTGCGTATAGGGAATGAAGGATGGAAAGTCAAATAAGCGAAAAAGTCGAGAACGAAACGGAAGCTGGGGTTTATAAGGATCTATAGGGTTCAGGTAATGAAGGAATGGAACAGAAAGTGGAAACTGCCATGAGCCAGACTATCTCCGAGGAATGTTTGGCGAGGACGCTGCAATACTTTCTTTCCATGGGATGTGGCCAAAGGTCAAGCAACTGCACTGGCGCACTGGAAGCTAGGCATGGACTCTACCACCGTGCCCCTCTTGGGACCACTTTCTGGCACAAACTTCATGGATCTCTTGCAGGTAACAGCGAGCAGTTTTAATGCAGGTCACGTCACCTTCAGACACCTCTCCAGAAATCTCAAGAACGGAAGAAGAACAGATGCAGGCCATTGTCAATCCAAGTCGCCTTGGGTGTCTGCAGGTGGCTCAACAAGACCTTCAGCGCCCTTACAAAGACGGCCAGGCAGGACGCCTGCGCTTTGGCAGCGTGGAAAGGGACGCTCTTGCCGTTTTCGGCTAATGTTCTTTTCAGAGCCGGGCATAAAAACTTTAGCCGATGATTGTGCCCATCTTTTTGGAGCTAGATGCAGGGTTTTCATTGAAGAGAATTGATTGCTTTGACTCTTCTGTTGTAGGCCAATGCACCCGAATAGAAACCGCAGCCTGCCAGGAAAATCGCCTTCGGCTCGCGCCGCCCGCAGAAACGCAAGGCGAAAGTAGGCTCTTCGGCAAAGTAGCTGCCTGGAAGGGTTCCGAGTCTAGGTAGGCATATTACCAAATTAATAAAGAGGAGTGTTATGCAGAATGTTACTTGGAGGGACAGTAGGATACTTTCTGTTTATACCTTGGGTTTGGCCTACCTAGATCTGAGGAGTGGTTTTTGGTAGCATATCCAAGGAGGCCCCCATACTCATGTAGTACTATCCATCTGTAGCAAGATGTGACTCGCACGCCTACAAGCCAGCTCAAGACCCTAAATCCAGCTTCTCGCCACAAACTTTTTGCCAGGTGTTCTTGAGGCAAAATGCTTTGCCACAGGTCTTTGAGAGAACCTGAAACCATAAATCCGAAACCCTTAGCCCCAAACCCTAAACCCTTAGCCCTAAAACCTAAACCCTTAGGCCTAAACCCTAAACCTTAAACCCTAAACTTTTAACCCCAAGCCCTGTATTTAGGACCTTCAAACCGTACCCAAGTGCTACACCCCTTACCACTTGGTACCTTGGCGTGAGTGCACCCCCGATTTGTCCCACCCCCTTGAAAGAATGGAAAAGAACATGGAAACTACTATTTAGGGTTTAGGGTTTAGGGTTGGGTTATATTGGGAGAATGGAAAAGAAAGTGGAAACTACTATAACATAGGGGTTACATTGGGTCATATTGGGGAAATGGAAAAGAACATGGCAACTACTATAATCCAGGGGTTGCATTGGGGTTATATTGGTGTAATGGAAAGGAAAATGGAAACTACTGTTATACAGTGCTTACACCCTATACCTTAAGCCCTCAGGCCCATATACACTTACCCTTACTTCGGGTTCTGACATTTCCTTTTATCTCGGAATTTCAAAGTTAAACCGCCCCCCAAACCCTAAGTAATGGGAATATAGCCTAAATCCTGAACCCTAAACCCTAAACCCTGTGCCTCGGCCCAGCTTGGAGCCATGTCGCCCACTGTAGCCACGATTGAAACCATTCTGCGCGATGTTTCCTACCTTGAAAGGTGAGGGTTTAACAGGTTTAAGATTTAGGATTTAGGGGTTTAAGGGCTTAGGGTTTAGTGGTTTAAGGGTTCAGGGGTTTTGGGGTTGGGGGTTTGAGTTTCAGGGTTTAGGGTCCGTATGGGTCATCTTTTATGGCTGCATGCCTTGGTACTTGCACCATAATCTTGAGGTACTTTGGGGCCTCAGGCGCAGCTCCTTGTTTTGCAGTGACTGGAATCTTTGAGCAAAAGGTGACCAACCTGCCACGACAAAATTTCTTACGCATCATTCTTCAGCCTCCTTACGCTACCGAAGTGGAACTTTCGAAGCCTGCGAAAAACATCCGTTGCGGCTTCTGTCTTAGGCATCTCAACGGTAAGCGTCTGGATTGCTGTGCTCAAAGGTTCGCAAACTACAACTGACAGGGTTATATATATAGCCATATAGCCTTAGTTAGCACTGGGGATGACTCTGTCGGGGCAACCGCGAAGTGGCTGAGGGTTTAAAATAACCCTAAACCCTAGTTTAGGGTTTGAGGGTAGAGATGACTTTCTAAGTACGCCTCGCACATCTTGTTCTTGCAGATGGTCTCTCTGACTTAATTCGTGTTCTTCTGGTGGTTGAACCACGCAAGGTTATATTCTCCTGATAGATACTATACTCCAAGCGGATAGACACTTTCTACACTCGGATGTGCCATTCCACAGAAAGCACCTTGTTCGCTTGAACCCGTCTTGCACAAATGTTGAAGCCTACACTCCCATACCGAAACTGAAAGCCGGGATGCGCAATCCCACGAGGTACCTTTTCGCATGTTTGAATGAGGTCCAGTGGAAGGGTTGTGGCAAGGTTGAAGGGAGAAGTTGAAATTTGAATCAACAACAATAGCATTGCTATTGTTACTACTATTACATATTACTGTTATTACTGCGATTACTGTTATTACTATCAATGATCCTTGATGTACTGGTGACACGTGAGCTTTACGCTTGGGCACGTTGGATTGCGGTGTTGGGGCTGCTATCTGATTTTCGTTGATCGACTGTGGCTGGCTTCTGTGGGGCCAAAGTTGTTCTCATGTGTCCATAAGGAATGGATGCGTTGTCAAATTGCAAGTCAAAAAGCTTTGATATTGCGTTCGTTTATGAACCCTGCTTGTACGCAGCACGAGACGCACACCCCAGTAAGAATAGCCTGACCTGACAACTACAGCCACAAACAGCAAAGCCAATCAATCATCCAGAAATCTCCGGCAAAAAGCTGCTAATGCTTCTGGCATGCACCCTAAAGGCTAAACCCTGCCAAGCCCCTTAAAGCAAGGAAACCAATGTCCAGCAAGCGAAAAGCCAGCACTCTAGCGAATTCTGAAATAACTCTTGCGTAGTCCAGGCAGCTAGTGTAAAGTGTATTTCCTTCCCACTAACCTCAAACACCCTTACCCCTCATGAAAAAAACTCCCAGAAGGGACGTTTTGTGCTGGGGAACACGTTGAATAATAAGGGGTCCGGGGGGGATGCCGAATATCAGACTGAAGCAAGTTACTACGTTCCTTAATTCCTATATGCCCCCAGTTTTCATTTCATGTTCCATGTTCTTCTCCATTTGACTCTTCATTATAAGGGGATATTATGGCTTAAATGAAGTTCCTTAGCAGCAACCCAGGTGGGGATTAGTACGCTAAACCCTCGACCCTAATCCCCAAACCCTGAACCCTAATCCCGAAACCCTGAACCCTAAACCCTAAATCCCAAGACCAGAACCCTAAACCCCCAAAACCCAAACCCTGAAACATAAATCCTAAACCGCAACCCCCAAACCCTGAACCAACTCGGGGCTATCTTAGGAAAACCAGTTTGGGGTATGACCTTAGGGGTACAACCTTGGAACCCCTGATCAGATAGTCAGATAGCAGCCGCATGGTTGATACCAAAGATCCTGCATTACCCTAAGTACGTACGTTACATTCATCGAAAACTATGGAATTGTCGTATGCTCATGCCATGCAGGATTTCTGAGTATCAACAGTATCACCATTACCCTAAACCCTAAATCCCTAACCCCTAAACCCTGAACCCTAGACCCTATAAAATCTGTGCAGCCAAATGTCCATGCCACAGCAGCCTCTCTGGCCCGAGCGTGGAGGAGACCTGGTCTTGGGGTCTAGGTTTTAGGATTTAGGGTTTAGGACTTAGGGTTTAGGATTTAGGGTTTAGGATTTAGGGTTTGGGATTTAGAGTCTAGGATTTAGGGCTTAGGATTTAGGATTTAAGGTTGGGATTTAGAGCTTAGGATTTAGGGTTCAGGGCTTAGGATTTAAGGTTTTCTTGATCATGTTCGTTCCTGAGAAGAACTCTTTGTCATCAGTTGCGCCGGTGCTGCTTTTTCGATTGTTGCGCTTATTAAGTTCTTCACTTGCCTTGCGGGTACCAGTCGCTTGTTTCTGGGTTTACTTTCGCAATGCCATAGTCTTTGTATATCTGGGGTTTTGGTAGGTCGTCTTCTTCCACATGTCTGTTTTATCATCTCTGCTGTATGTGCTGTTTTTCCTCCTTCCTGGGTGTTGTCGGTGATGCCGGCCCACAATTCCATAAGCTTTAAATATATACACATATATTAATAGATATATATATATATATACATATATGTGTATATATCTATATATCCACAGCCCCTATATACACCCTACTATAACCTGTAGCCTACGTAACCCGCATGACGCACACGCACATACATACACACATATATATATATATATGCATATCATGCTCGTATACCTATTATAGCACCTACATACCCCATTATCACCCCTATCTACCTATCTATCGACCTATATATATATACACACACATATTCTCTTTTATTGTTTTATATTGACTTTACTTTACAAAATACTTTTTCATATCGCATTATGTTTACACCCTCGCGCTAAGCCGCGCACACTGCTGTATGCAGCTGCCGCTGCTCCACTGCATTCAACCCGCAGAACACCGCGAATGCGGTGGGTTGGTAGTGCACCTGAAAGGGTTTAGGGATTTAGGGTTTAGGGCTTGAGGTTTGAAGATTTAGGTTTGAGGTGATAGGGTTTGTAGGGTTTGGGGCTCAGGGTTTAGGATTTGGAGCTTTGGTTTAAGGGACTGGTTGCTTCCAGGCCTGCCATTTGACGAAGGCTCTGAGCCTTCTTCGCAAGTACCAAACACCAGCCCAGCGACAAGACAAGTCTAACCCTGTCCACCTAGCATCACTGAACTTGAGCCTTGACTCAGGATTCAAATGGCTTTGTCAACCTCTCGTTTCACCTATGATTTAATAAGAGGTGGCGCTAGCTCATGCTGTGCTCACCTCTAGTTAGGAAGGAACGAATGAATGGCTTTTTGTAGGGGTCCCTGTGCCATCCTCAATATTATACTACTAAACCCTAAATCCTAAAGCCTAAGCCCTAGGGTTATAATCCCCCCTTAAGCAGATAGACTATGGCTTTGGGTATATCATAGTAAGATCCCCGTATACCCCACATTCTGTCTACTTAAGGGGGGCTATACTATTAGAATCCCTACATAACCCCTGGGGAGGAGGTCGACTTATCTCGGTTCTTGACGGCCCAAGCGGCTGGCGAGCCAGTTGTGTATTGCCTTGGCACGCGGTTCAGGGTTTAAGGGTCTAGGTTTAAGGGTTTAGGGTCTAGGGTTTGCCGTGAGTTACCGTGCAGGCAGTGATGATCAGGTCTCAGGGATTCAGGACAAATTCATTCCATTTTGTGTTTTCGTTGTTGAAGGGATCTCAAACCTTCTTGCACGCCCCCTGGAGGATGGTCAAAGGTTTTAAAGGGGCCTGCAGCGGCCTGGAGGGGGCCTTAGGAGGCCTGTTCTCGGAGGGGAGGCCTGGGAGGTTCGCGAAAGCTTGAAAGGCTTTTGGCTGTTTTTTGGGGCTGACAAATTTTGAGTCCGACCCTCCAATCTCTCAGGCCAAAGTTCGCCCGCAGAGGAGGGCCCCGGACTTTCTGCATAACAATGTAAAATGTTGTTCAACAAGAACCCACGTAATTTTAATTAATAGTGCACATTGAGTTGGAGCGCCCTTGTCTTGGGAACTACCCTAAACCCTAAACCCTAAACCTTAAACCTAAACCCCAAACCTTAAACCCTAAACCCTGAACCCTAAACCCTCGTGACCTTGCCTCAAGATCGGAATTTCGACTCAGATCTGCCGAGAAGGGCGAGCTGTGCGGGCGGCCTTAGTTCGATAGCCGCAAAGAAATGAAGTGCAAGTTAAAGGTTTAGGGTTGAGGGTTTAAGGTTTGGGGTCTAGGGTTGAGGGTTTAAGGTTTAGGGTTTAAGGTTGAGGGTTTAGGGTTTAAGGATTAGGGTTGAGGGTTTAAGGTTTAGGGTTATCCAGCGGTTGTTCGCAAATTCTATGTATTTGTATATTTTGGGTTCATTTTAAATGCGGGCCCTGAACGGCAGCGAGCGAGCATGTGGGATGGGACACGCTTATGAGGCCGGCTTATTCTATCCTACCTGGAAACAACCACCCCAAACCCTAAACCCAACAACCTGGACCGGATTGCGAAGTGGAATGCCTGTCCAACCTTCAAGCCATGCTTCATACGCCTGCTCAACTATAGGGGGCTTCCCGAAAATTAGGGCATCATAAGGATTATGGTATTTTGGGGTCTATATTAGGGTCCCCCCTGTCTTGGGAAACTACCCCTACTCTATTGCAATTGCTGGTGCTGGCATGGCACTGGAGAGGAGGCCGCGGGAGAGAAGGCTGCGCAGTAGAGCTGGTACATCCACAGTTGTTGTGGATCGGTAGGACGCGGAAAGCGCGTTCCTAGGCAAAGATTTGGCTCAATGGTTTTCACAGGAAGGCTGACATCCAAGCAACAGCAGTGAAGTGATGACTGCGAATCCTGCTTGGGGTCTGTGCTTGCGGCTGCGCTCTGGCAGTCGGTGTAGTGAGAAGCAGACGCATACTCGCTGCCAGGTGAAATTAGGCTGCCAGAGAAACAGTGAGCATGCCCCCAAAACATGCAAACCTAGAACCCTGTACACGGTGGCGCAGAGGTGCTGCGAAGCCAGGAACTTGGCCATGGACATGGATTGCGAAGGCGCTTGTGCAGGGAGCGTACGTGATAGGCCGGCCCCAGGAGGCTCTTTGCTGCCTGGCATCTCTGTACTAAATTCTGGTGTGTACTGTGACGGAAAAATGCGACTCAGACAAAATTCTTTTGCACTTTTCACAACACGGCACGGCAAGGTTAGAGCAGCTAGGGCAAGAAGGGTGCAATGGACTACTGGGATCAAGCTCAAGCTGCTGAATCTGTCCTGCTACTCTTGCACATTCTCTGGGACACCCTCTCTTTTGTGATTGTTGTTATGAGGGAATGGAGGACCACGGAAGCCTGAACATAATACCCAATGATATGACAGTTCCCTTGTCTGTTCCATTCCTTCACCACCTGCTTACAAATATTCCCTAAATGCTAAACCCTGTACCCTGCACCCTAAACCCCATACCCTAGCCCTAAACCCTCAAGCCAGGATAAATACAAATTGTATTCTCTCGCCGGCCGTTTTCAAAGATCTCTCAGAAATAAACACTCAGTAACGGGAGCACTCAATCATCTGTCGCCCACACTTGTGCATGGGTGGGGCGGGAAGGATGAGCAGGTTACAAAACTCGAGCTTTGGAGCCTTTCTAGGGTCATTCTGAAATCTTCAAGGGCCACCTTGAACTTGTTGGAGCCACTTCGGGCTTTTAGAGGTTCTTGGGGTCACTTTGGGCCTTTTGTTACCATTTTGCCCCTTTAGAAGAATTTGGGTCTTTTGGAATCAGTTTGGACCTTTTGAAGAGCGAGTTCGAGGCTTTTGGATCCACCTGAAGCTTCTTGAGCCATTCTGTGCCTTTGAAAGCCAATCGGAGCTTCTGGGAGCCAATTTGACTTTAGGACCAAATTCCTTAGTATTTGGCTTCCAATAGTCAAAGCCCTATAAAGCTCCCCAAAAAGGCTGCGAGAAGGGATTGGAACAACCACCCGCATCTCCCCTGTTTTGAGGAACATTTCCAAGGCAGTCTTAAAACGGAAGCTTGCTCAAAAACCCGGCCAATTTTGGTCAAAACTCCCGACCTGAACCCTATACAATTTTTATAAACCCTAAACCAGCCTAGGGAGAGGCGCTTGCTCCGCGACTGCATGCGCCCATCCCTGGGCGTAGCCGCAGAGGCCGTCGCCGCGGGCTTCCTCCGCACACGGCCGTAAACTTACTGGGTTTAAGTTGAAGGTTTAGGGTTAAAGGGTTTAGGGCCATGATTGGCCTTAGTTTTTTTGTTGGACTCTTTTCCGTCCGCTGATGAAATCCTGAGTTCAGGGTTTGGGGACATTACTCCAAGAATGAAGAATCGAGAATCAATTGAAAAAGAACATGGACAACGAATTGCACACTAGGGGGAATGCAGGGGTGTGCATATGCGTATAGGGTCTAGGGTACAAAATGGCAAGTCACAAGGGAAAGCAAATGAGAACTTGGGGCTTGTGTGGTTTTGTAGGATTCATGGGGCTTAGGCTTCTTAGGCCCTAAACCCCAAACCCTAAACCCTAAACCCAGACCCTAAACCCTAAACCCTAATCTTAGTAGGTATGAGAATGGACAAGAACATGGAAACTAGTATTGGCCATCAAGGCCCTGGGAATGAAGGAGCAGATCAGAACATTTGAGCTGCCATATGAGCTACGGTCAATATTTCCTACCCAACTTCATGGACATGGGTTCCTTATTAGGGACTGTATTAGGGACTATACTAAACTACAAGAGGGACCCCTATGTCCACAATAAAGGGTCCCTCAATAAGGTTAATATTGGCAGTAGCTCATATGAGCTGTAGTCTTAACTCCTAGTACTCCTTTTACTAACCCCTACCTGTAAGGAGTTTGGACCCTCAAATTTAAACACTAAATCCTAAACCCTATATGACCCTCTTTAAGGAGTTTAGCTCATGTTCTCGGGCATTGTAGTAGGGCTGGAGTCATGATCCATTTCCTCCAGTCCCAATGAACAACCTGTAAACAAACCCTCGTGAAGCTTCCTGTGTTAAGCCCAAACTTGGCCTAAACCCTAAGCCCGAGCCCCTAAATCCTAAACCCCTAAGCCCAAAACCCCTCAACCACTAAACTCTAAACCCCTAAAACCAAAACCCTAAGCTGTACACCCATGGGCTTTAGGGCTTACTTCAGAGAAACGGTTACGAATCTGCTGCTCGGGTCCTGCAGACTCCCTATCTGGGTTCCTGTTAAAGAACTTAGCGGGTTAGGATTTAGGGCTTAGGAACTTAACTTAAGTTGACAGTATAAGGAAACCGTATTCTTTACAACTTACCTCATGCTTGGTAATTTTAAAAACATACACCCAGCTACCATTATGATGAAGATGTGTTGTTTATTGTATATCCTTTTGTCAACTTAGACCGTCAACTGTCTCCACGGCAACCCAGTCGTTGGAGCCCCAGTCCCTCCCTTATACCCTCAACCTATGCCGAAGCTTGCACCCTTCAGCCCGTCCCGTCTGAATTCCTCCCTGAGAACCGGAAGTATTTGGGGGTTTCCAGACATTAAGGGTCCATCTTGCCTCACGCTACTCATGCACCCCTCACGCCCTGATAATTTGTTTATATAGTCCCATTACACAATGGTGGGATCCAAAACCTACACCCTAGATCCTGGGAACATCTATTCTATTCTTAGGGGAATGCTTAGGGGAATGTTTTTGTATCAGGGAGATAGAGCCTTCATCATCCCAAGTCCTAAACCGTGGGGATAGTGCTGGGTAATAGGCATTTTGAAAGTTGTAGTAGGGTTTAGGGGTTTGGGGGGGGGGGGCCTAAGCCCTAAACCCTAAGCCAATTTTCTAGAAAAAAATGACCTTGGATGCCAAAGGCCAGAGACTACGCGGACAACAAGATGTCTGGAGCTCATGCTTGGTTGGTGCATCTTACCATCGTATAGGGACACTACACTACGGGTGGAATATCCAGTATTCTTTTGTTGTTAATATTGCTAGTCTTCTTATCATTATCATTATACCATGGTATCAAATGGCCGCTATTTTGCAGGGCGAATATCCATTACTATCACTGTTATTCTTCTTATTCCTATGCTATAAGGTCGCAAATGGGTTTAGGAATCAGGTTCTGGGGTTGGGAGAAAGTTGAGACATCAGTGTCCCCGTACCCGAAGACCTGACAATCTAGGAACCCAATAGTACCCTTTTTCCCTTTTTATATTGGGGTCGCCTTATTCAAGCTGAATAGTAGGAAAAAGGGTACTCTTATTATTAAGGGGTTATTGGGGAACCTAGCAATCAGGAAAGTAACATGCAGCATCCCATTCCCATGCAGCTTCTGGGCTTCGACTGTAGTCGGTTTACATAGGAGCTGTATAGGTCTACGGCTTTAGGGTTTAGAGTTTAAGGTTTAGGGTTGGTCACCCAAGCAAATTGAGAATTCTCTTTCATGGTCCTTACGTGGGTGCCTTCAGTAAAGCTAGTTTGGCTCCAGTGGGTTTAAGTACCGGGTAGGAAAACCCAAGTTATGACTTGGTATTATCTCAAGCCTCTGATAAGTAACCCCGCACCCTAAGCCCTAAACCCCTACACTCTGAACCCCCAAAGCCTGAACCACTATTACATATACATACCTACCTGATTCTAGTGGACTCTAAGCCCTAAACCCTAAACCTTACACCCTAAGCCAGTATAAAGTGGGCAATTACTTGAAGCGCTTGCAACTATATGTTACATATACATACCTACCTGATTCTAGTGGACCCTAAACCCTAAACCCTAAGCCAGTACAAAGTTAATGATTACTTGATTATAGTTACTCCTGAAACACTCCCGCCTTGCAAGCCCGATTCGCCTCTGCGTCTGAGACTAGGGTTTAGGTTTAGGGTTTTAGGGTTTAGGGCTCAGGGTTTAGGGTTTTAGGGTTTAGGGGTACGATGCGTTTAGATATTTTCAGACCCCAGATGCGAAAATACTCCAGAATGGCTACAGTAGATTGCCCTCGCCGCGGCGTCAGTTCCTAATTTAAGCTGGAAGCCTCAAAACCTTAAGCCCTAAGCCCGAGCCCTTCCCCGGACCTCTAACCTGAAATCCCCAAGCCTAAGCCCCCAATATAACCTTTGTATAGCCCTAATGATATGCCTATTTAACCCTATATAAGCCCTATATAACCCTCAACCCCTAACCCCAAACTTGAAACCTGCACTCTGCACCGTATTCGCTAACTCTCAAGCATAAACCCAAAACCCTAAACCCTCCAGGTGCTGGTCGCCCCAGGGAGGTATGCCCCTGAGCTCTGTGCCTCAGCTGGCTGCCCTGTACGTGGAGGCAGACAAGGAGACGTCAAAGCCCACGAGTTTTGAGTTTTGCGCTTTAGGGCCTTTAGGGTTTTGGTTTGGAGGTTGAGGGTTCACACATCCCCAGAAAACCTATAGTCTAAACTCCTTAAAGGGGGTTATATAGAAGATGATATAGGGGAGCATTATAGGAGTTATTCAGTGGGATGCTGGGAGTTTAGACTATAAATCCTAAATCCTATATTGTAGGGCTACCAAAATATGACCCTAATTTTGGGAACTTCCCATATGTGCGCCTTACGTGGCTTGGCATTGCGCCACAACTTGTTCGGATGGCCAGGCTTTAGGGCCCTAGTCTAGGTGGACCCCCGACCCTGTAATAGTGGGGTTTAGGGTTTAGGGTTTAGGAAGAGTGACCATGAGGGGTAATACGGTTTATATTAGGGCGCTCTTATATTCCTATTATTCCACTGGTACGGTGTGGAGGGGTCCTCCGAAGCCCTAGTGTAGAACTGGGCGCTTTCAGCGTGACGAAGCTCGACATTCCGCTGAAATTGCCAGGACGTTTTTGAAGTTCTGCAGTCAAATAGACACTGCTTCCCCAATAGAAAGCCAGCAAGGACAGCTAGAAGGAATATGAGTGAGTTACAAGCCGAGGCAAAAGTAGTTCCTAAGTCCCATGAACAGTCAAGTAGATGAACCATCAAGTAGGTACAAGTGGTGGCCTCCTGTCGTGGGCAGGAT